CATATCACTACAGTACCCACCACCCCTTGTCCTGGGGCTTGAACTCAGGGAATGAGGTGCTGTCATTGAGCTTCTTTTGCTCAAGACTAGTGTTCTACAAGTTGAGCCACAGATCCACTTCCAGCTTTTTGGTAATTTATTGGAGATAAGTCTCATCTACTTTACTGCCTGAGCTGGCTTTTAACAGTGATCCTGAGTTGCTAGGAGTTCCTGGTGTGAACCACTGGCACCTGATACTCCAGGATTTTTAAACTAGTTTTTTTTTGCCAGTCCTGGGGTTTGAACTCTGGGCCCAGGCACTATCCCTAACTAGCATTCTACACTTGAGCCACTGTGGCACTTCTGGCTTTTTTTTGTGATTAATTAGGAGGAAAGAGTCTCATAGACTTTTCTGCCTGGCTGCCTTTGAGCATGATCCTCAGATCTCAGCCTCCCGAGTAGCCAGAATAACAGGCATGAGCCAACAGTACCTGTCTGAAACTAATTTTTGTTCATTCCTCTTTTGTGTTGACTGCCTCTAAGTAGTTGCTAAGCATGCAGTGTCTGCAAAACAGACACAATATCTGCCTTCATGGAGCATATGCAAAAAAACATGTTACTGGAAAGATTCATTCAATTAAATATAAATTCAATTAAGGTACATTATGTGCAAGTTGTAAATATTACAATGAAAGTGTGGTGCACAGTGAATTTATGTTAATTTTTTTGTGTGGGGGGGGGTCAGTCGTGGGGCTTGAACTCTGGGCTTGGGAGCTGTCCCTGTGCTCTTCAGCTCAAGGTGCATGCTCTACCACCTGAGCCACAGAGCAACTTCCGGTTTTCTAGTGGCGATAAGAGTCTCACGGACTTTCCTGCCCGGGCTGGCTTTGAACCGTGATCCTCAGATCTCAGCCTCCTGAGTAGTTAGGATTACAGGCGTGAACCACCAGCACCGGCCTATGCTAATTTTTTTTTTTGGTTGGTCATGGGGCTTGAACTCTAGGTTTGGGTGCTATCCCTGCACTCTTCAACTCAAGGTGAGCGCTCTACCACTTGAGCCACAGCGCCACTTCCCTATGCTAATTTTTTTTTTTTTTTTTGGTCCGGTCATGGGGCCTGAACTCTGGGCTGGGCACTGTCCCTCAGCTCTCCAGCTCAAGGCTAGCGCTCTACCACTTGAGTCACAGCGCCACTTCCGGCTTTTTTCTTTTTGCTTATGTGGTGCTGAGGAATCGAACTCAGGGCCTCAGGCATGCAAGGCAAGCGCTCTACCACTGAGCCAATTTCCCAGCCCCCCCCATGCTAATATTTTTAAGTAAACTATAATTACAGGGCTGAGAATGTGGCTTAGTGGTAGAGTGTTTGCCTAACATGCATGAAGCCCTGGGTTCAATTCCTCAGTACCACATAAACAGAAAAAGACGGATGTGGTGCTATGGCTCAAGTTGGAAGAGTGCTAGCCTTGAGCAAAAGAAGCTCAGGGACAGTGCCCAGGCCCTGAGTTCAAGCCCCAGAATTGGCAAAACAAAAATGAAAAAATTGCTTTGAAGTACAAGTAGAGGATTTCATGACTAAACTGAACCTAAACTGGGAATACCTGGAAAGGCTTTCCTGGTGAAGAGAATTTTGGTCTACCTCTGATTATGTAAACAGCAAGTAGATCCAGGGGCGATTGGTATGAACAGTTAAGTAGCAGTCAGAGGACAAAAACAGCAAGTACAAATCCAGAATTATGAAATGTGGCATGCCATAGAATACCACCGCGCCATTTTCGGCTCTGATAGTTTCACAGAATGGCCTGCCTGAGCTGGCTTTGAACCAGTCTGCAGATCTCATCCTAAATAGCTAGGATTTACAAGCATGAGCCACCAGCACCTGGCTGTTTCACATTTTTATTTCAATGCTGTCTTTTTAGTTATGTCAAATATGAAAATCTTTTCTTCCTAAGCTAATCATTTAGTCAATAGTGAATAATAGTATCATAGTTCTAATGTTGATTTAAGAAAATTTTAATAGAAAAGTTAAGATTCTTAGTGTTCCTTATGCTTTCATTCTAATTAGCTGTAGAAATTCTTGCTGATATAATACAAAATAGCACATTGGGAGAAGCAGAGATTGAACGTGAGCGTGGAGTAATTCTTAGAGAGATGCAAGAAGTTGAAACCAATTTGCAAGAAGTTGTTTTTGATTATCTTCATGCCACAGCTTATCAAAATACTGCACTTGGACGGACAATTTTGGGACCAACTGAAAATATCAAGTAGGTTTAATTTTCACAGTAAAAAATGACTTACAAATTTTCAAAAAGTGTGTTTTAAAAAATTATTTTCCTCCTAAAAATATGCATGGAATTGTAGTTGGCTGCAGTTGAAGTTATGCAATTCCCAGCTGTCTGGACTCTTCTGGAATAAAAAAAAGTGTCAAATCTGTCTTCCTGAATATAAATAAGATGAAGCTCTTTGATACATACTGTCTGTACCCTATTTCTTTTTGTTATACTTTTTAAGATCTTGTTTGCTTTAGGTGTATTATGTAAAGATGCATGCTTTCTGATATCCTTAAAATTGCTTTACTTTTACAGATCTATAAATCGTAAGGACTTAGTGGATTATATAACTACACATTATAAGGGACCGAGAATAGTACTTGCTGCTGCTGGAGGTTAGTCAATTTAAATTTTTATAAGTGTTTAAACACAGTGGTGATTATATGCTTCTCAAAGAATTTTTTATTTCCAGAGCAAACTGTTGAAGGAATGAACAGAAGGCCTGGAACCAGACTCTTGTTTTCTTTTAGTAATTTTCATTTATAGAAAAACTTAATGAACCATTCAACACCTCAGTATACATACATAGTGGAATTGACTTATAAGACAAGGCCTAATTGAACTATAGGTGGTTATATTGAGAAGTTACTGTTCTATAATTAGAGAATCTCTTAAGATTTTAAATTATTTCTTGAGAAACATTCATTCTTTCATGAGCTCAGTCATGTAATCACTAGATCTACTAACCACAGAAAATACACAGGAAGCTATGAGAATGTATTGTGAACCAGATTCTGCCAGTTTCCTAGCAGCCTAAATTTAGGCAACAGTATCTTTTAATTGATTTCCAGTTTTCTTTTTGTCATTTAGTATTAGAGCAATGTGGATAGATGCAGTATACTCTGGGCCCGGGCACTGTCCCTCAGCTCTTCAGCTCAAGGCTAGCACTCTACCACTTGAGCCACAGTGCCACTTCCGGTTTTCTAAATAGTTTATTGGAGATAAGAGTCTCATGGACTTTCCTGCCCTGGCTAGCTTTGAACCACGATCCTCAGATCTCAGCCTCCTGAGTAGCTGGGATTACAAGCATGAGCCACTGGCTCCTAGCTTATTTGTAAATTTTTAAATAGTTCTAACTATATTTCTGAGTTAATTACCTAGGGGTAGAGAAAGTAATGAAAGTGAAGGTTGAATGTCTCTTATTTATTGTGGCTCCTGGCAACATTAACTTGTCCTTGTGTGATAGACATGATACTCTGAAATGTGCCAAAGTTTCTAAAATATCTGATACTGATTGAGACAAACATTTTAAATTGCCTTGGTTAAATGAAGCCCCAGCAACCATGCTCCCTGGGACTTCTCTGCCCTTTTGAGTTTTATTTTGGCATTGTTGATGTAAGAGCTTTGGCTAGTTAATGGTGTGTTTAATTATATTGTTGGAACATAAATGTTGACATATGTTATAAACGATGGCATCTTAAATTCAATGGAATAGGCAATTTAAGGCTGTAGTTACCACTCCAAGTTCCCTTGCTCTTTGTTTGGGGTAAGTGGAGGTAGTGGTTAGAATACTAGCTAAATATCGTGCACATCTAACAAAGAGGATTAATAGATGATGGTAATACTACGGTGCAAGTGTGCATCTGACATCCTTGTCATGCAATGGTCTTCTGTTTGTGCTGCCAAACAGAAGATAATATCTAGATTGGTATCTAAGATTGATCTCTATGTAGTGATCCCAAAAATAATTTGTCATTCACTGAATCGTATGATTTATTTGGAAAATACGATGTAAGCTGTGTAATATTTTATTTCATTTACAGAAATCTTAGTTCAGTGTTTTTTAAAGGCACTTGAGCTGGGCGCCGGTGGCTCACACATGTAATTCTAGCTGCTTAGAAGGCTGAGATCTGAGGATCACAGTTCAAAGCCAGCCAGGGCAGAAAAGTCCATGAGACTCTGATCTCCAATAAACCACTAGAAAACCAGAAGTGGCGCTGTGGCTCTAGAGGTAGAGTGCTCGCCTTGAGCTGAAGAGTGCAGGTACAGTGCCCAGTACCAGAGTTCAAGCCCCATCACCACCACCAACAAAAAAAGGCACTTGATCAAGCTGGGTATAATATGTACATCTATAATCCCAGTGACACAAGGGTCACAGGAGGATCATAGTGCAGGTTTGCCTAGGCATAAAACAAAACCCTATCTTAAAAAAGTAATCAACACATGCCAGTGCTGGTGGCTCATTCCTATAATCCTACTCAGGAGGCTGAAATCTGAGGATTGCAGTTAGAAGCCAGCCTGCTGCCTGGAAGTTAGTTTTAGTTCCAGTTAACCAGTAAAAAGCCAGAAGTGAAGCTGTGTGGCTTCTAGCTTTGAGCAAAAAAGCTCAAGAATGAGGCTGGGAAGGTGGCTCAGTGGTAGAGTGCTTACCTTGCATGCATGAGGCCCTGGGTTCGATTCCTCAGCACCACATAAGCAGAAAAAGCCAGAAGTGCTGCTGTGGTAAAGTTCTAGCCTTGAGCTGAGGGGAAGCGCCCAGGCCCAAAGCTTAGGCCCCAGGACCGACAAAAAGAAAAGAAATAAATAAATAAAAACTCAAGATCAGCAACCAGGTCCAGAATTCAAACCCCAGGAGTGACACAAAAACTTTAAAAACACACACACACACAAACAAAAACACACACAGAAAAGGAGTAGTTGGAGGCGTAGCTTGCCTAGCAAGCATGAGGCCCTGAGTTCAAAATCCAGTACTGGAGCACCTGGGAAGATGGCGGAACGCAGTCACAAGTCCGTGCTAGTCGTGTGTCTGGGTAACATTTGCCGGTCACCCATTGCAGAAGCAGTTTTCAGAAAACGTGTAGCTGACCAAAATGTTTCAGGTGATTGGAGGATGGACAGGGTGGCCACATCCACATATGAAGTGGGAAATCCCCCTGACTATGGAGGGCAGAGCTGCATGAGGAAGCATGGCATCCCCATGAGTCACACTGCCCGGCAGGTTACCAAAGAAGACTTTGCTACATTTGATTACATACTGTGTGTAGATGAAAGCAATCTGAGAGATTTGAATAGAAAAAGTAATCAAGTTAAAAACTGCCAAGCTAAAATCAAAGTGCTTGGGAGCTATGATCCACACAAACAACTCATTATTGAAGATCCCTATTATGGAAATGACTCCGACTTCGAGCTGGTGTACCAGCAGTGTCTCCGGTGCTGCAGGGCCTTCCTAGAGAAGGCCTAGTAGACCAGCACTGCCCACAGCCAAGCCAGCCACTAACCCCACTAGTCCTGTGCCTAAGCGCAGTGGCGTTCCTTAGCCCCCAGCCCCTGTTGTTGCTTCAGCTGACTTTTTTTTTTTTTGGGGGGGGGGGGTCCGGTCGTAGGGCCTGAACTCTGGGTCTGGGCGCTGTCCCTCAGCTCTTCAGCTCAAGACTAGCGTTCTACCCCTTGAGCCACAGCGCCACTTCCGGCTTTTTTTCTTTTTGCTTATGTGGTGCTGAGGAATCAAACCCAGGGCCTCAGGCATGCAAGGGAAGCACTCTACCACTGAGCCACCTTCCCAGCCCCACTCTTTCTTATCTTAAAAGTAACTGTAGTGACAATTAGTTTTATTTACCTGAGATAAGTTTTTGTTTCAGGAAGTTAAAAAAATCTAGCACTTTCTCCCTCCCCTCCCCCCCCCCCCCCCCCCAATCCCCAATGAAGGGAAGGATCCTTCACTGGCTGAATTCTGTGTCCTACATTTGAATAGTAAAGAATATAGAAAGCTGGCGCTGGTGACTCATGTCTGTAATCCTAGCTACTCAGGAGGCTGAGCTCCTGGACTGCTTTTCAAAGCCAGCCCAGGCAGGAAAGTCCGTGAAACTCTTTATCTCAAATAAACCACTAGAAAACCAGAAGTGGTGCTGTGGTTCAAGTGATAGAGCACTAGCCTTGAGCTGAAGAGCTGAGGGACAGCGCCCACGCCCAGAGTTCAAGCCCCATGACTAACAAAAAACAAAAAGAATATAGAATCTAAGAATTTCTTAATCTAATCTTAGATTAATTCCTGTTAAGAGTTGGATGTCAAATAATGAACATGTAGATTACTATGGACGTATTAAGAAAATTTAGATGAAAGTATTTGTTCCTGAATTCTGCCAACAGAACTGAAAGAATGAAGCATACATGTATGTACAGCTTTTTTGAGTGAGGTGGACCCCATTTTATTCTTTCCTACTTTGAAAAATAACTTATTGAAATTTGCTTTTTACTAGGTTTGTTATAGTTATGGTTTTGTATAGTGATTGCTTATCTTTAGCTGTGAATACACTGGTATATTGATGTATTTTTATAGAATGAGTTATGCAACCCAGATCTTAATATCAAGAAAATAAGTATGCTCTTAGAGAAAGTAGTTTATGTAATGTACATTTTGTACCTACTAGAGCTTATTTTAAAGCAGTTTACAACAGCTAATTGTTTTATTTAGGTGGTATTCATACATATGAAAATGTTTTCCTTCAATTTAGGTGTTTCCCATGATGAACTGCTTGAGTTAGCAAAGTTTCATTTTGGTGATTCCTTGTGCACACAGAAAGGAAATATACCAGCTCTGCCTCCCTGCAAGTTCACAGGAAGTGAGGTAGGGCAAGCCTCCTAGTTAGAAGTAAGCCTTCTAGATAGATATATTGTGTTACATTTACAAATGAGTATACAAAATGTGTATTTCTAATAGGAGTTTCTAGCAGTGTTATAATTTGGTGCTTCTGTGCTTTTTCTTTGGCACTCTTTTATTTATATATGGAAAAGCATAAAAGTAACCTTATAATAACTAGAAATTTTGGCTTTCACATTGAGTTTGCTCTTGGCTGAGTTCTTCTCACAGTACGTTTGTGAGGGTAGCTGTTAGAGCCAGAACTTGCAGATTTACTACATACCAGCTGTAGCATTAAGACCCAAGCGTAGTTTTCCATGGAAGGAGATCTGATGCTGGCAGCTACAAAGAACTCTAATAGCAATGGCAGTACAAAAATAAATTCAGTTTAGATAGAAAAAAGTGTCATGAGCATTTTAACATTGCATAGCACTGATCAATCTTTTTGTTTGTTAATAAGCATGTTATACAGTTGCACTTAACTACTGTTTTTTTTTTCTTAACCAGATTCGAGTGAGGGATGACAAGATGCCTCTGGCGCATCTAGCAATAGCTGTTGAAGCTGTTGGTTGGGCACATCCAGATACAATCTGTCTCATGGTTGCAAACACATTGATTGGCAACTGGGATCGCTCTTTTGGTGGAGGAATGGTGATTGATTTTAAAAATAACTTTTGTGTGTGTGTGTGTTGTACATGTGCATGAGTGAGTGCATGCGCCAGTCCAGGATCTTGAACTCAGGGCCTGAGCACTGTTCCTTGAGCAATTTTGTTCAAAGCTACTGCTCTACCACTTGATCTACAGCTCCACTTCCAGCTTTTTGGTAGTTAATTGTAGATTGTCTCCTGCCCCAAGTGGCTTCAAACCATGATCTCATTCTTCTGAGTAGCTAGGCTTATAGATAGGCATGAGCCACCAGAACCCTGCAAAAGTTAGTTTTCTGAAATGTTTTTATATTTCATAGAATGTTTATATGCTATTTTTTGAAATGACAAAACAGAGATTTGTACTATGACTTTGGCTTTTTAGGGGGGCTGGTCATGGTGTTTGAACTAAGGGCCTGGGCATTGTCCCTGAGCTTTTGCCCTCAAAGCTATCTCTACCACCTTGAGCCACAGAGTCACTTTGTTTTCTTATGGCTAACTAAAGATAAGAGTCCCACAGACTTTCCTGCCCTGGTTTTTTTTTTTTTTTTTTTTTTTTTTGGGGGGGGGGGTGGTCCGGTTGTGGGACCTGAACTCTGGGCCTGGGCACTGTCCCTCAGCTCTTCAGCTCAAGGAGAGCGTTCTACCATTTGAGCCACAGAGCCACTTCCAGCTTTCTTCTTTTTGCTTATGTGGTGCTGAGGAATCGAACCCAGGGCCTCAGGCATGCAAGGCAAGCACTCTACCACTGAGCCACCTTCCCAGCCCCCCCTGGTTTTGAATCAAGATCCTCCGAGCTCAGCCTCTTGAGTAGCTAGGATAACAGGTATGAGTCACCGGTGCTGGGCTTATACTTTTATGTTGTACTTAAAAATATAAACTGAGTCCAGTGCCAGTAGCTCACACTAATCCTAGCTACTCAGGAGGCTAAGATCTAAGGATTGTATTTTTAAAACCAGCCCAGGCAGAAAAGTCAATGAGACACATATCCAGTTAACCTCCAAAAAGCCAGATATGGAGCTATGGCTCAAGGGCTAGAACACAACCTTTAACAAGAAAGCCCAGCACCTATGCCTTGAGTTCAAGAGCCCCAAGACTAGTGTGTGTGAGCACGGGCATGTGTGTTTTATAAACTGATCCTGGATTGGTATGTAAGAAAAACATGTATCTTTGCCACAAAGTTTGACAATATAAGGATAGAATTAGTTAAGTTGCTGTCATAGTAGCAGTTAATAGTAGTTATTAATATGGTAGTTAATAATACTCTATCAATGTTAATACTCTGAATTCAGTGTATTACTGAAAACATGAATGTTTTTCATTAGAGCACAGTGTTTAGGGATGCAGCCAGTGATGTTAGCACATGCCTACTGGAGAGGGAGGTAGAAAGGTCACTGAATTTAAGGCCAGTCCAAAGATAGTGAAACTCAAACAAAATACAAAGGGTTGGAGAGATGTATTTCATGAGGTAAAGGGCTACCCTAGAATGGGTGAGGCCCTAGGTTCAAAGTTTAGCAGGATCTTATAACTTGAAAAACATATAAAGTAAAAATAAAGCCAACAGTAAATTATAGGAAAATGTAAATGAAGAGATTCTTTGTACTGTGCTATTTTTATAGCTCTTCTGTAAGTGAAATTCCAAGAGTATTGACTTGTATGAAGGATGTCATGAAACTATATGTCATGAGAGTATCTTAAGCTTTATATCCAGCATAATTTTAAGCCCTTAAGCATTTGTAACTAAAAGTTCTAATGGGTTGATAGCTGCAATGGATTTTTTTAAGTAGGTATAGCTGTTACATTACATACATATAAGGATTCATTGCTTTTACATTATACATTGGACTAGATCATCAATAGTTGTTTTGTTGAATTTTAAATTTACAATTGAGATGTAATTTATTTAGCCTTCTAGGGAGTTCTCTACTTGCCATGTATCTCCTTGTTCATTGCGATTTGAATGTATATACCTACAAGTCTTGTTTTCTTGCAGAATTTATCTAGCAAGCTGGCCCAGCTCACTTGTCATGGCAATCTCTGCCACAGCTTCCAGTCTTTCAATACTTCCTACACTGATACAGGACTATGGGGGCTCTATATGGTTTGTGAACCAGCAACGGTTGCAGACATGCTACATGTTGTTCAAAAAGAATGGTGAGAAATATGTAGTTTAAATCTTATGGCAGTTTTCTCATAACTTTAGTCTTCAAAGCAGTACCAGTGGTTACCAGTGTTTTTAAAGACATTTCTTTTAAATTATGTGTGAAGCTGTTATGTACTGCAGAAAGTTCATCTTTTGGAAGATAAAGAACCAAAATGTTTAAAAGAAAATACCTCTAAAATTTATTTGCCTTGGGAATCTAAGATTATAAAAGTGAATCTAAAGTTGTCATTGTCAAAAGAAAAATGTTGTGTTTTAGCTGGCGCCAGTGGCTCACACCTTAATCCTAGCTATTCAGGAGGCTGAGATCTGAGGAGGATCATCCCCATGAAATTCTGATCTCCAATGAACTACTCAAAATGGAAGTGATGGACTGGGAATGTGGCTTCGTGTTAAGAGTGCTTGCCTAGCATGCATGAAGCCCTGGGTTTGATTCCTCAATAACACATAAACAGAAAAGGCCAGAAGTAGTGCTGTGGCTCAAGTGGTAGAGTGCTAGCCTTTAGCAAAAGAAGTTCAGGGACAGTGCCCAAGCCTTGAGTTCAAGTCCCAAAACTGAAAAAAAAAAACAAAAAAAAAACAAAAAATAGAAGTGTCACTGTGGCTCAAGAGGTAGAGCACTAGCCTTGAGCACAAAGAGGCTCAGGGAAAGCGCCCAGGCCTTTAGTTCAAGCCCTAGGACCAGCAAAAAATAAAAAATTAAAATAAAAAAAAAAATGGTATTTCAAATATGAGTGTTTCAGTCAGTAGTCTGAGGCAAAAGGCCTAACAATGTAACTTTTAATTCTTTCCTCCACTGTTCTTTTGCCAGGATCCTGTGGCGGGATC